TAGCCTAGAAGTAATGCCACTATTCCTGCCGGTTCTGTAAAAATAAATACATCTGCCTAATCTTATCTAATTGAATCTAATCTTTTCATTAAATCCGAGCATCGTTTTTTAAATTCATTCCTTTTTTTCGTACTAAACAGTTATTAATCCAATTTCGGTGAATAATATTTCACGGCTTCCTCTCTAATTGCACAGCCCCTGTGATATACGACATCAGTGGCTATATAGCGAATTTTACATGCCTTTAAATTTCATTTTTAGCTCGGTGCATGGCTTCGAAAAAATTGACCAAGGCTTTTGGGCGTCGAGTCGCCGCAAGAGACCGTGATGTGTCCGCAAACAGCAATATCACTTGGCCGAACAGAGTTATCGGATTCTATATGTATCATGCAACCATTTTTCAGTCTTTTTTATATACCTCGCAAAGCTCTCGCCGACTCGAGTATATATCTTTTTCTTTCAGTCGCGCGATCCTATTAATTTTGCTTGATTCCGCTCTCTTTCTCTCGCTGTTGCACGCGCGACGCAAGCCCGTGAGTGTGTATGTGTGTGAAAGAGAGAGAGGAGCGGGCACGCGAGAGTGTGTCGACGAGTACGTGTAGCGCAAGCTTAACAGTTTTATTAAATTCGAGGGACTCGTGTACGACTTTATATCTCTCCTCCTCTCTTTCTGTCTCTCTCTCTCTCTCTCTCTCTCTTTCGTATAATTGTACTTTGGCCGGCCCGAACGATACAAGCGATGGTGGGGGTCGCAGAGCAGTAGCAATATCATCGCGATGAGTCTTGAAATCGTTGGAAAAGAATGTATATAATACGATGGATCGAGTCTGGCTTCTCATTAACTTCTTTTAATTAAATCTCAACGATATGTAGTTGCTATAATTGAAGCGGCTCAAGTTCTCCACGCTTGAACTGTCGAATTTTTAATGAACTATCTCTCTCCTCTACCTCACTCTTATTCTCCCTCTCTCTCTTACTCATCATCGAGGAAAAATCTACCGTGAGTGACAAATGAAAAGTTTCCATATACGTACACCTGACCGATTCCTGTTTGCAACGAAAAAATAAATTCGACCCACTGAGTGAGAGGAAACGAGTGCAGAGTTCAATTAAGTAAAAAATTCACCCCTTGTACACCGCACGAAAAAATAGTCTGGTACTCTCAATTAAAAACTAAATTTTGACCCGGCATGGGATAAGACTTATTATCGTTTGCATTTTTCTTTTAAAAACCTTTTAATCTTTCGTACCTAGTGGGAGAGATCGAAACAGTTTCATGTCACCGGTGAATTTCCGTTTTTGCACGCATATCCATTATCATGAATCGTACGCGCGACTTTTCATTTCGCACTTTTGAATAAAAATCGAAAACTTTTCGTTTGAAAGCAGATAAATTGTTTTACCTGCTTGGATCGCTAGTTTAATTGAATTTTTTAACATATTTCTATGTACGTCGCTTACGGTTGAAAGTGAACGGAAATTCGGATTGGACGTTTTCGAGTTTACACTTTATTTTTTTAAAATGATGTCGCTGCATATCTCAAAGAGTTCCCTCGATTCGCGCTGATCACTCGGTATCCGGTCGGATTTTCGTACCTCATTAAATTTGTACTTTAGAAAATCGATTTTATCTTTCGCAATTCAAACTAGAAAGTTTATGAATTTTTCCATCCCATCGTTTCTCGAGCTCAATTATAATTGATATCCCGTGTTTCATTTTTGAACATATGTACATGATATATAAGCCCCGGTGAAGCGGCATAACGAGAGTATTAAATACCAGTCGGAGCTCTCCGATATCGAGTAGTGAATGAAAATCAACGGGTAGCTGCGCTTACCTGCTAGCCGCTCTAACAAGATTTATAACCTTTCTATACTCATCGCGTGTATCTGTACGTACACCACTTGTCAGATGGAAGGCAGCAGCTTCCGCTGCGCGATAAATCAATAACGAAAACAACAACAACAATAATAACGGCCGGGCTAGCATTTGGCCGATTGATTCCTTTTGTGCGCGCGTGCATCCTTCGACGTACATCTTACAGAGGCAGAAAGAAAGTTCGGACGAGGCAATGACTTATAGCTCGACAGGTTCTTATACGTATACACGGGCGCGCACATGCGATCTAAGAGAAAAAGCCATCGAGTCGATTTCACGTCGTCGTCGTCGTCGTCGTCGTCGTTTCGGTACGCGATTACGTATTCTGATCGATAGTCGATAAGTTCGCTGCATATCGTATAGGTATGTGCGCTCGTCGACAATCGTGCATGCCGACTCCTCGTTTAGCAATCGTATGAATGGAATTTCATCTGGACTTTAATAATGCTTGATGTGTGCATCGATCCCGATTGTTGTCTGTTCCGTTCGAAAATAAGGATGTACTTGGCGCACAATGGATCCCATCGTAGCCGCCGCGGGGCTTCACGTCAGTTTTCAAAAAATCCATCCAACACACGGTATAATAATAACAAGAGAAATGGATAGCTTATCCGCTGTATCTGCGATTAAGAACGCTAGCTCGCCTACGAGAGCGACGTAATAATGGATAGTTCGGTGGTATAGGAAAAAAATGAGCATTATTCATCGCGAGCGCGAGGCCGTCTCCTGCCGAAAGAGGATATGTTTACTAAACGAACTGACGTCGAAATAATCGACTTACTCCCATCGTGGAGCTGTCTGCGCGCGATCTTCTCGGCGCTGTCTGACGTTACCTTTGTAAATATCTTCTTTTTCGGTGTTTTTTTTGTTGTCGAAAAAATTGAGAAGAATGCACCAGCTGCGTTAAAGAATCTTTTTGTTGACTTTAACGAAGATCTCCGGCTCAGTTTATGCAAACTTGACGAGCAACTGATTATCGCGCGATAATCTGACTAAAAAATGCGATACCTGCGCTGTCATACAATTTTTTTTATTATTAAAAAGGATGAGGTATAAGCGGCATTGAAAATTTAAAAGTAATTATTAACATTTTATCTGGCGTGCTTTGTATTAATTCGTACATTTTTTCCGCACGCTGCAAAACTTCGTATTGATTCGTTTTCGATGTTCGCGATGCGTAAAAAATTCAGATTCTACGTGCGATAAAAAACGGTGGCTCGCATTTTCCAGGCTCATGATTATATATTCAAAGGCTTCGCGTGCATAGTTCTCATAATCGATATTGTAAATTGAAAGGCTCTCTCGTTCCCTCTCAATTGTCACGGTGTTTATGTCTCTGTGAAATGAAAAAAAGATAAATAAAAATCGAAAGAGTATTGAGCTTTGTCGAAGCGAAGCGTTTCCGCGTTCAAGAGTATTCGAGGCTTTCGAGTTTGACAAGGCATTAAGGGGGGGGGTAGGGTCTTGACTGAATTTCAAAAAAAAAAATTTTTTTTTTATTTTGAACATATAGTAAATCGAATTGATCTATAAATCATACACATAATTAATAGTTATTTGAAGAATATTCAGTTAAATTTTCAGCCTAAAATACTGAAAAATAAGGTGGCTACAGCAAATTTTCACATGCAACGTAAAAAAAATCCGGTGGACACCATCACTCAAAATCTACTCGACCGATCAACTTCATATTTTATACACTATTTAAGTAGATGATATATGAGGTAATGACGTCGAGATATTTTAAATTTTTGCATTTTTTAATGCTTTTTACGAACAAGTACGATGAATTTTTGCCTTCATTTTGTCAAAAAAGTCATTTTTTTCACTTCAAAATGATGCCAAAAACTCAAAAATCATTTTAAACGAAATATCTCGACGTCATTACCTCATAATTTATGTAGATAAATAGTGAGAAAAATTTGGAAAGAATCGGTCGAGTAGATTTTCAGTTACAGTGTCCACCGCAATCGATCTTTTTTTTTCAGTTTTGTGAGAAAATTTGCTGTAGTTAGCTTATTTTTCACTATTTTCAGCTAAAAATTTAACTAAATGTTCTTCAAATAACCATTTATAATGTATATAATTTATAGATAAATTCATTTTACTATGTGCTTAAAAAAAATTATTAAAATGCAGCTCGAAAACCATCGAACAAGACCCTACCCCCCCCCCTTAACGAAATCGAATAATAATCGCGCGCGCGCGAAGCTCTATCGATAATTATAACATCATAATCATTCAACGATGTGCGAGCGCGTCGACAATATATAAACTGCACAGCGCGATATTCCTCTTTGAGTTGAACTACGCTGCGCATCGACGATTGTCGTATCGTTCGTCGTTATAATATACGCTTAATAAACGTTTTATTGTCGCAATTGAGCGAGTCGATATTATGAATAGCTTTGTGTACTAAACTAACAATGCGTTGTAAAGTCACTCGGGTGCAGAGAGAGAGAGAGAGAGAGAGAGAGAGAGACAGAGTGGTGACAAGTATCTGTAACCAACTGCAAGTCGCACTTTTTATTCATCCTGCTTATCAAGTCATCATTTTTTCCATTTAAAGCCTTGGTACAATTTCCTGGAGTATACAGAAGAGATACCGAGGCCGATATACCTATAAGTTTGTTTCCATTCACTTGGAGCTCGCAAGCGCGCGTCTCCAAGTTCTCGCATTGACCATTTATTTTCGTACCATTGACTGCCTCGGCTTGAAAAATAAAGGAGCTTTAATCTAAGCGAGACAACGACGGCCCAAGAAAGGTAAACAAATGAACGTTGACGTTCGATTTTTCTTCTGCGATTGATGTCTAAATGGAGAAGGCGTCGCTCGTTCCTTTTTTTTCTTTTTTATTCGGCATCCGATGACAAGGATGTTGCCAAGGATTCTTGCTGATCAATCTTTAAACGCTGAATATACTTACTTGAAGTAGAAATGCTCAGACACTCTTGGGAAATTATTTTCTCGCTCTCGACCTGGTGCACTAAAGATTCCGCTCCCCGGCGCGTTTGAATAGCAAAATCGAAAAGTTTTGTAGTTAAAAAAAAAATGTCATTACCCGACTCTCTGTATAAGTTCATGATGCGATTATACGATATTTTCATTTTCTTCTTGCAGGATCGCTCCAGATAACGGAATCCGAGCCGTCTGATCAGGGAAAATATGAGTGCGTGGCAAACAACACCGTCGGCACGGAATATTCAAAATCGACCATGCTCTACGTAAAAAGTAAGTGTAATCGAATTAACTCTGCACGTACGTTCTTTGAAAAGTTTTTCACGACATACTGTAATGCCGCCCTGGGACACACGGATGGGACAAAGCAACTATTTCCAAGTTTTTCTATTGCTCAAATTTTAGTAATATCCCCAGAAAAACTTTTATCAATTTATCAGCTGTGACAAGACCGATGTACGCTACAGCTTCTATACATCACGTAATAAAAACGTTACGAGTATCGAATCTGCAGTGTGTACTCGCACTATCGCTATAAATTTATTGCAAACGGCCGCGTGACACGTTGTGAACATTTTTACCTTGTTCTTTTTTTTATCAACGCCTAACACATGTATTGACAATGCAACTTTTATAGTGCGCCGAGTGGCTCCGCAATTCTCGATCCCACCGAATCCCGTGAACGAGGTGATGCTAGGCTCGTCGTTGAATCTGACTTGCGTCGCGGTCGGCGCGCCCATGCCCTACGTGAAGTGGCGCAAAGAGCCCGCCACGGATCTGACGCCCGACAATCTCATGCCACCCGTTGGTAAGAACGTGCTGCAGCTCAAGGACATCAAGGAATCGGCCAATTACACGTGCATCGCCCAGAGCGAGTTGGGCATCATCAACGCCACTACCCTCGTCAAAGTTCACTGTGAGTTTGGACTTTATTCGAAACTTATAAATTTATAGCTACGTATAGATGCGCGCGAGAGATGTATAGGGTGATTAGAGAGCGTCAAATCTCTGCGTGTATCGCTCTAGCCCCGTGAACATTTATAACTCGGGTCCGACACACGTACGCGGGTTGTTGTTTACGAAGCTACTGAGACACGCGCTTTTCCATTAATGCAGCTCTACCACTGGCGCCGGAGCACGTTCAGGTCTCGGACGTAACTGCCATGTCGGTCAAGCTGACATGGTCTTATAAAGGTCCCGATCAATTGGCTTATTACGTCATTCAGCACAAGCCGAGGCACGCAAACCAGGCCTTCGCCGAGATATCGGGAATAACGACCATGTACTATCAAGTGCGGACTCTCAGCCCCTACACCGAGTACGAGTTCTACGTGATAGCAGTCAACGATATAGGCAGAGGACCGCCCAGCGCACCGGTCGTCGTGACCACCGGCGAAACAAGTCAGTTTAATATGCCTTTTTCGGACTATACATACTGAATACTTTATTAACCTTCTTCATTCTCAGTGCAAAATCTATTTTTCCGTTGAAAAAATATATACAAGTCATGAATTTTGGTTTATTTTTATTTTTTAACTGGTGGAGGTTTACAATGGGGTTTGTTGGAGCAATAACTTTGACGAATGTATTCTTTCTGATTGAATAGAGCAAGAGTCTATGTGTAAAACGATAGAATTTTTAGGTTTTTTTGGACATAATAATATTTTCATTTTACTGATCAGAATCGTTGTTAAGAATTTATGTGCTTTTATCTTGACTTAAATATAAGAACAGATTACAGAGATAATTGTTAAATAGATTAGAAAAATATTATGTGCACCTAGATCAGTAGTGTTTTTGCACAATATACAAATATTTTCAAACGGTTTTTGAGGGGAACCATTTTTTAATTTTGTTTTTCATGCCGTCAACTACGGTCTTGTCGATACGAACATGTAAGTGACATTTAAAAAGCATTTTTGTAGCACTTTCCTCCATTACTATGTCCTAACTGTTGTTTTTTTCAACGATTGTTTCACCTTACATCAACATGAATGTACTGTGGTATTACTTTTTTTTGAAAAAATAGTTTTTTTGATCACCAATTGTAATAACCAAATAATGCCATTGATACAAAATTCGGTCAGCGTTTTTTCGTGATTTTCGCTGACTCGACTCACATGTGTTAGATAGATAGATAGCACTAATACATAGACACTAATCTCAAGCACAAACGAATACCAAAATGTACTCGCGTAGAATTACGCATGTAAATATGATTTTACTCGTTTGTGTTTTCAAAAGCACTAAAAATGTTCAAAATCACTTGTATAAGTGAATTGATTCTATTTTTTCTTCTATCCAATGCTTAGCGGATTCAACAAATGGAGGCGCCAGTAAGTCGAAAATCTCTCAATATTAGAGTGTGCCTTATATTTTTAATGCAGTTGATTTTTTTCATTTTGTATACACGTAGAAAATAGAAAACCAAACGCGTCGGATGAAAGTTTTCCTGAAAAATGTAGCTTCATTTATGCTTTATTGAAATGTTTGTTGCATGCAAATTGCGATGAAACATTCAACGGAACCGTTCGCTCTCTTTCTCTCTTGTGGCTTTGTGACTTTGGAAACATGTATCTTTTTTAACGAGTTAGATGCGTGTGCGTGTGACACGATTTTCCTAGTATCATCAAGACTTGATGAAAATATCAAATCGCTCAACCGCGGCTGTTCTTTTTTCGCATTTTAATTTGGTTTAAAAAATTTACATAAGAGTGTATTCATTTTTGAGAGAACGGCAGAGTTCGAGCCACTAAAGTATTTTTAAACTTAGTTCAGTCCGATTTTTTAGTTTAACGCTACTAACTAAATTTTCTAGTATTAAATTGTGCATAGAAAATGCTCTAAAAACTGGAGATTAAAGATAAAGTTGTTAACAGTGTTTTTCATTCTCAAATCACGAATAATTCGAATGCTTGATTTTTCACAGGACCCGGGAGCGCACCACGCAACGTTCAAGTTCGACCGCTTAGCTCCACCACTATGGTAATTCAGTGGGACGAGCCGGAAACACCAAACGGTCAAGTTACGGTAAGTGTCATCAATTTGAAAACTAGATTAAAGAAAAAAAGAATAGAACTTGATTTGATAAATCATAAATGTTCACATTTAGGGCTACAAGGTTTACTACACGACGGATCCCAGTCAGCCGATGCCGAATTGGCAATTCCAAACGGTCGACAACAACCAACTGACGACGATATCCGACTTGACGGCTCACGTGATCTACACGATTCGTGTCCAAGCATTGACGAGCATAGGTCCAGGACCATTGAGCACACCGGTGCAAATCAAAACGCAACAAGGCGTGCCCAGCCAGCCCGAGAATCTGCAGGCTGTCGACATCGGCGAGACCTCCGTTACCCTCAAGTGGAATAAACCCGCTCACAGTGCCGATAACATTCTCAGTTACGAGCTTTACTGGAACGATACTTACGCACAGGTGCATACACGATTCGAGTGGATAATAATACTTTTTTGAAGACTAAATTATAATAACTTATAAATATCAAAATGTAGGAAAAACATCATCGGAAAATTTTGGAACTGGACACTTATACTCTGACGGGCCTGTATCCCAACACCCTCTACTACATCTGGCTGGCGGCGCGCAGTCAACGGGGCGAAGGAGCAACTACCATACCGCTACCCGTTCGCACCAAGGAGTACGGTAAATACAAACAACATATTATTGTTCGTTGGTTCGTTGATCGACTCCGCTGTGATTCTCGGCTCTCGAGAAGTTTGCAACGCGAGTCGATCAACGACGATCGAACGATCGACAGGTGGGTCTGGACCACACTAGATTCATATCTATTCACGCACCAAGTATATTGAAATATAAATCACTTCTACTTGAGAATTTATCTATAATGATGCTTCCTCATATTCACACACGTAAATATAATCGATTGTTAAGAGATCGAGCTCCCCGAGTAATGCTACGTTTTTCAACAGTCTTGTACCGTAGTTTGTTTTGACATTTGTCGTTGTTTAAACATTTTTACATATCGGTAGTTATTGCATTAGGGAATATTACAGATACATTAAAGGGGAGAATTTTCACGTGTGGGAGAGTGAGAATTACTGCATGTTTTGCCAAACGATCAAGAGTCGTTTTTTGAATGCTAATCTCTCTATAATACTTTTCTATTTACAATATATTTGTAAAAAATATATATACCATATAATTGCCAAGCACCATAAGCACTGCATTGATATTACTATATGTGTGTGTGTTGTGTGCATATCTAGTAATCTTTGTTTTTAACACCTATCTTATTTACGTCTCTCATCATGTCAAAAGTATCATACTTTCCACGTCCGAATTATTTCTTATGAGCTGTCTATAAATTGCAATGGACAGTTTTCTTCTACTTTTAGTTTAATTTTTTTTAATAAGAAAAAAAAGACTAAAAAAACCAAACCATCCAATCATAAGTATCCGAAGCCCTTGAATTTTACCATCCCCTATAACGGAGTTTGATAACAGTCCCGGGCGCACCACCGCGCAATGTAACCGGCTACTCGCAGAGCGCAACGTCTATATTGGTCAAATGGGAGCCACCGCCGATTGAACGTTCGAACGGCCCCATCACGTACTACAAGCTTTACTATGTCGAGAAGGGAATTAGCGATTCGGGATCGACGTTCGTCAAACAGAGCAAGACCGAGTACCTGCTGGAGGAGTTGAAAAAATGGACCGAGTACAGAATTTGGGTGGTAGCCGGCACGAGCGTCGGCGATGGACCGCCAAGTTATCCCATAACTGTACGCACCCAGGAAGACGGTATGTATTACTTATTGGAAAGCGAACAGATAGATTTTAATTATTTAAGTTTAAGACAAATACGATAAGTGGTGATGGTTAACATAATAGTGAAGATCCAAAATCGAAGAAACGACACTATTTCATTTCACTAAGAAAATCTATTATCTATTTGCAGTTTAATTTATTAGAAAATAACTGATTGAATTGATTGACAATTAATGTACAAAATAAAAAAAAATTCGTAGGGAAATGAAAACAGTTTTGTTGGATCATTATGCGTCTATAATTAATAAACCAAAAATATAAAAATCCGCCAACAGTACAATAGAGATAATCTCTTGTATTTGATAGTCTGTTCCCAGTGCAAAAAATGTCAAGCAAATGTCGAGTTAATAAAAAAAATAACTTTCGAACAATTGTATTTATTATATTTAAAAATTTTAATTTTGAGTTCTAGATTGAAATATTGTTAATCCATATTATACTGTGATGTAATTTTTTCTTTACTATTGATGTCTATTGAATTTATTTGTTTTTGAAGAAAGAAACTTTTAAAACTAGTTCATTAGTACATAGTGCAAACAAACATGCGTCAATAAATACTAAATATTTTTGCTAAAAAAATTTTTTACTGACCATCATCTTCAGAAGATGCTTTTTTTTATAAAAGATAAGGAGTTTTTCATCCCTAAGCGGCATTTTTTGGCGAAATTTTGTATTTTTGGAATTTTTGCATCGAAAACCCAAGTAATTTTTCAGGTTTTCGGCGATCTTGGATTTTTGAATGCTGAAAGAACGATTTTTGAACGCAGCAGAATATTGATATTTTTCACCAATAACAATTTTTAAACAATTTTCAGCATATCTATGTAAAGATTTTTGAAAAACTGTCACGTCCAATCATTTTTCATATGCAACTAAAAGAAATGTATTTTGACAGACTTGTTTATAACCTAAGTCATTTTAAAATTATCATTTTTTTTCTCTGCAATTACAGGAGGATGATCCAGGTTATAAAAATATCATCATTTTTTAGTTTTACATCATTATCATCCTATATATCTTGAGCATTTTACATTTAATAATTTTTTCTTTCTACTCATTGTTTTCTATCATGCAATTCTATTTTTCTGTCTTATATGATCTATTCCTACAAATTTAAATCTCATTTATAATGTAGTTGTCATACAACATGCAAGTTGCCAAATTTATTACTTCACTTTCGCATTTATTGGCATATCTTACACATTAAATTTATTCATGAATGAATTCTCGAGGGCAGCTTACATGTTGGTATATAATTAGCTATAGTCATTTCTTTACGAACCCCATATTTCTAATCTTTGTTCTTATGTCATAAATATTTCAAATAGTATATTTTTTCAAATAAATTTATTCCGCACCATTTTTACTGGTGTTGTATGATATTTTCGAAAACGTACCAATCGTTTTACACTTCTATTATTTACCGTTTGAACATACAATTAGAGCATGATGAATTACTCTATTGGTTTTCAGTCTTTTTCATTCATATATATTTTTCAATTTCTTTATTACCACCTCGAGTGAGTCCAAGCATGTACACATCTTTAGTTTTTATTTTCGATCATTCTTTTTTACCACGGTAGTAGCAAAACTTTTATTTCTCACTTATATATCATAAATCACGAAATTGCATCGCACAAAATTATTAGATGAGTTCACGAGTGAAAAAGCACCGCTAAAGTATTATTAATGAAATATTATCGAGCAACACCTTAACGCGTTATTTTGCACTCTTTCATCTGGTGTTATGGATAAAATCTTTATTATAAAGCACTGCACAGACTATCACCTCTATAAATCGATCTATATGATACTATAAGCTCCACACTAAGTCAATCGACTGCAGCACAATTTTTATTTATTTTTTTTTTATATTATGCGTGCAGTAATGATTATGTATCACACTGTATATTATCTATGCAAAAGTCACTTATAGCACCAGGATGAATTTGCACAGCCTAAATATATATAAACGTATATATTGCGTTTCGGACACTTTCGCACCGCACGCGTATATTATTATAATTCACCATTTATATCTATTGTATACAGCCTATACACGCACCGAATAATATGATGAAAGCACTCGATGCACCTCGAACGTGAAATATGTCAGTTTGTCACACCGCTAATGCTGTTTGTCACTCGCAATGGGGCTGTGTTTTATTAATGAGTGTCATTGTTGAGTACTTCTCGAGCGTAAACTACGTTATATTATACGTATAAAATACAATACACTGACGATCTAGTGCACTATGTGTTGTCTTTGTGTATATCACATCTATATCTATAAAGAGCACAGCCAATTTATTACTGAATCACATCGTAACATATGGTGTGAGATTGAGAGCCACACCATAGAAATTCAGCAGCACCGCACTTTTATCTTCTATACTATAACTTACATATGTGATAACGTGCACTTTTTTCTCTTTTCTGAAACAAGAGCAACACTGTCCGTTTTGATTCAAGAGCTTTTTAATAGGAACAAAAACTTATCACGTGTAAATGACTACTTTAGCTACTGGTCTCAGAACGGATATCATCTTTGCTCAACTGCGAGTAATCCATGTGTGAGCGAGCGAGTGAGATATTACGTGCTGAAGTAAATGCTTGCGTGACTGTGTGGTTATGTGAAAAAGGATACGTCTGTTATTTTATTTATTTTTTTCTCTTTGCTCACTAAGGTGCTCCGTCTCCTTTTGTGACTCGCTACGAGAAAAGTAAAAGGAAGAGAACAAAGTGGCTGCATCGGGATGTATAATGTATATTATATTGTACATTAGGCTTGGGTAATTTTGTGCTATATTGTACCACGGTCATTTGTTAAAAATTTTAAGTAGGTAGGATATTTAAAAAATGAAATAATACAGTGCTAGATCCGAAAAAATTCTTTTTTATAAATTCATTATTGTAATTAAATGGTATCAATAATAATTTTATGTACTCAGGTAAGATTGACTTTAAAAAAACGATAATTCTTCATGGATTAAATGAAATCAAGAGTTAGAGTCCATTGAAGTCAAGTGATCATTATTTGAAATATCATTTGAATACCAATAAAATTGAATGTCTGAAATCTAGTTGATAACATGATGGATCCTTGAGAAATTCATCAACTGTGTAAGGAATCAAAATTAACTACTGAAACATTTATCTTCAAGACAAAATGATAATATATATTGCATAGGTAACTCTGCGTGCGAGAGTGATCGAAATGACTTATACCAATATTTTTGATTCGATCATTTTCCTTTTGAAATATTTTCAATTTTTAAATGAGCGGTGTTTTTGGCTCTCGTATTTTGGAAAACTTTGAATTTTGAAACAATTTTTCAACTCGTGATACTTTTTTTTTCATACACAAACATTTACATAAAATCCTTGTCACAAATTTTTTCCTCATTTTTTAAAATAAAATTACATCTTTATTATTTGAATTATTTTTTCTCGATGTCATAATTCATATCATACAATGTCTCGCGCTGCTGCCGAGACAGGTGTATATTCAATTAACTGTCTGATTCCGAATGAGATTATAATATTAATATATTAAACAAGTTTGTCCTTATCAAAGGTTTTTGTTTTATGTATAATGTAAACGCGAGACAGAGTGACATGAATTTTTAGCCATGCATTTCAATCTTTTCAGTAGATACTTGCGCATGCATTCTAAAAAAAAAAATCATTTTATTCTCACGTCTCCCGAAAATTTATCATATGAACATAACAAGGGACCATTAAACTTTTTAATCATACTCGTTTCTACATTCACCATCTAAATTCACCTCAATCACTTGTAAAAAGGTTGTTTTACTTGCAAAAACAATACAAAAAAAACACATTTAAACGTTGAGAGTATGTACAATAATTTCTCGGGATTATCTACAGAATATGTATTTGTTTTTGTAGTAAAATTACATTTTTATAACAGAGATTCAAATTATGAGTTTGATTTCCCAAAGGTCGTGACATACACACGTAAGAGATTAGAGGGCCGATTAAATTGGCGATTGGATTTATGATATAGGAAAATATTCGATGTCTATTGGAATCTTTGAATACACACTAAAAATGTTTTACCATTTTTCCACTTTACATACACAAACACAATAATGCGTTCACAATTTTTATGAACGATTTTTTGACGAGTAATTTTTTTTTCCAAATTTTTGGCGAATTCCAATGGTGCTACAGACATAAGTGAGTATTTTTTACCAAAACTCATAAGAGTTATGTCAGAATTTTTGTCATTTTTATGATAATTTTTCAATTTTTTTGACTTTCTGATGTTTTTGATGAATTTTTGATACGAATCAGAATTTTTTACGAGTACTACGTTATTTTTATGTCTACTACAGACAGCTACAACCGTTTTTCGTAATAAAATTACGTGTATATATCCATTATACATCATGCTGATATTTCTTAACTAGCCTTAAATAAACTTCGAACTTCGGACGGAAAAAAATAATAAAACTTATTTTTTTTGTAATGCTGATAATTGTTTTTATGTAAAATAACTGGAGAAATCACTTTTTTCTTCTATGCCTTTCTAAATTCGCGATTCAAAATTTTGGTGAAAATGGAACTTATAATATAAATTGTTTTCGGTTTTTCGGTTATGCTCATGGCCCTTTGAATTTGTTATTCAAATTTCAATTCTATATCAAATGTATTCGGCAACAAGAATCGCGTTTTCAATGATAAAATAGTAAATATTCATATTGGTATTCAAATGTAACGATTTGAAATCCCCCGATTGTAACGACAAAGCAGGTTGTTTTGATTTCACGCAAAATGAGAATATTATAAATTAAATAGCCGCATGGATAACCGAAAATGAGTGCAATTTGATGAATGAACGATTGAACGTTTATACTTGGTTTTTATTTTCTTACAGAGTATCTTATTCCCGCTTTTATTTTAAATCTCTTTTCAAAGTATGTATCTTTTTTGGGTTTGGTTTGTACTCTTATTACTTATTACTTTACTATTCGACAGCTTTATTTATTTTTTTATTAGAATTTAGCGCAACTATTATTTACCTAGGTTGATTCATATACTAATTTTATTATTATTGTTTTCAGCATCATTGATTAAATATCGATTCATACCCTTCATCATATTATAATTATAGTATATTTTAAGCTATTTAGTATTCATTATTTTATTATAATTTTTCTTCGTCGTTAATTTTGAAAATACCCATAGTTATTATTTAGCTTTAAAGTAGCACATAATTATTTTAATTATTTACGTTATGTCGTGTGAATGGAATTACTTGAGAATATGTCCGAAAATGTCGTGCGTGTGTGAGTGTGTGTCTGTTGGAGCAAGAGAGTGAGAGAGAGAGAGAGGGTGGAGAGAAAGAGAGACACGTCTGCGCGCATGCAAATGAGAGAGTATGCTAAGGAATGTATCTCTATATGAGCTTAGTTGAGAGTACAGCACGTAGCCCTATACATGAAAAGCGAGCGAATTTTACTAACTGTCTGACTTTGGGGTTTGTTCTGCACAGTACCCGGCGATCCGCAGAACGTCAAGGCAACTGCGATCAATTCCACAACGATACACGTCGAGTGGGAGCCTCCCAAGCCTTACGACCGCAATGGCATTATACGAGGATATCACGTTTACGTTCAAGAGGTTCGCGAGGAGGTGAGAGAGATAGTTTCGCTTCGGTTTATGCTCTTACACGTCGAATATAATACAAAGTATGACGTTCAATTTTCCCCTTTCGCAGAGTCAAACTCAGCTCAATGAGCCGATTCTCAGTATCATTTTGGAGGAAAAAGTTTTACAAACGAACATTAGCGGATTACAGCCTGACACGCGCTACGATGTGCAAGTTGCTGCCCTCACGCGCAAGGGCGATGGCGCTCGCTCGCTTCCGGCTCACGTGAAAACACCCGGCGGAGTGCCTGGGAAACCTCAGCTTACCGTCAAGTTTGTATTGTTTTTACATCTTGAGATTATTTTCATTCGTTCGATACGAAATACACATAATTGTTATTATCATTTTATAGAGTTATGAGTCGAGAAGACCCGATCGAAATCGAAGTTGAATGGAAGAAGCCTCAAGAAACGTTCGGAAAAATACTTGGATACAGAATAAGATATGGAGTTAAAAATCAAACCCTCAAAGAAATCAACATCGAGGGTGATCAGAGATTCTCGTATAGAATAACAGACCTTGGTAATTTCTTACTTATAAATATTGAACGTTAATTTAAGCTTGATTTCCACTTAATAATTGATTACGCTGTCGATTAAGCAGTCTAGACGTAAAACATTACAATATTTATCATATCTTATTGTGCGGTGTAATAATTAACGACTATTAAGGGGGGGGGGGGGGG